TGGTCTTCGCTTTTCCTTCAGTGCACCCCCTGTTGATGGCCGGGATCTGTGAATAGGGATATTTTCGCGAAAGTTATGCGAAAGAGCGGGCGAAAGTCAAAGTACATGTTGAAGGGGGTGGGTCAGTAAATTTTGCAAACAAAATCTGTCCTGAGAAGGGATTCCGTGATGCTAGCTGCATGTTTAAAAGGCTACCAAGAAGTGATCCGTGATTCCCTGGCGTAATTTGGCAGGTGGTGAACGAATCTTTATAAGAGGTGTTGTTGGCCAATATGGGCCCCGTAAAAGATAAACATGGAGTTCGCGAAAGTTTCACGAAAGTAAAATTGTTATTCGCGAAAAATGGCCGTTCCGGAATAAAGGAATTTTGATCAATAACCATATTTAAATTATTTTTGTTATCCCATAGCTCTGACGATTATAATTTAAAATTTCTGCGCGATATTTTGTCATACTTTTTTTAGCCATTATATACGATTACCAATTATAATTTAAATATATCCAATTTTTTAGGTTCCTGCTCGTTTTGTCCAATAGTCCAATAGTCAAATTTCACCCAAATTCAAAGAATTTATGCTTAGAATTCCTTTCACCCACAAAGCATAGATGCGATACGTGATGTCCTAGTTTCTGGATGTTTTTTGTTATGTATAACATATTATAATAACATATGTATGTACAATCTTTTGTAAAACCTATTGCTCTCCCTTCCAGATAAGCCCCAAAAAATTAAAAAAATATGTTTTTTATATAAAATTATAGAGATTTTAAGGAACATATTTGGTTTCAAAATCGATCAATTGAATTTAAAATTATATATTTAGATTATTTTTATTGTCCCATAGTTCTAATAATTATAATTTAAAATTTCTGCGTCGTACCTTTGTTACACCTATTTTGGTGATTACATATAATTACCATCGATTATTAATTATAATTTAAATATATTCCATTTTACTAGGTTCCTATTTTTTTTCTCAAATAATCAAATTTGCAGTAAATTTTACGAAAAATTATATACATATATTTTATTAGAAAATACAGCGGATAACAAAAATTATCCAGAAAGAGGACATCATGCATCGAATCTGCATTTTGTGGATAAAAGAAACTCTAAACATGAATTTTTTGAATTTGGGTAAAATTTAATTATTAAACAAAACGAATAGGAACCTAATAGAATAGAATCAATTTAGATTAAAATTAATAATGTAATCACCACAATAGGTATAACAAAAGTACGGAACAGAGATTTTAAATTATAATTATTATAAACATATGGGGCAATAACAATAATCTAAGCATACAATTTTAATTTCAATTAATCGATTTCGAACCAAATCTGTCCCATTTTTCCTCCTTAAAATTTCTATATAAAAAGGATATTTTTCGAATTTTTTAGGGTTTATACTAATCTCTATCTAAAGGAGAACGCAATAG